TTATATATATATATATATATATATATATATATATATATATATAATATCAATATGATTAGAAAAAATAATGCTAACATTAATAATAAAAATTACAGAAAACCATACAAAAAATGATGTAATGGAATATTTTATTAAACTATTTTATATAAACTGTTTTTAAACAATAAGAGCTAACGTAGATCACACTGAATACGTCAACGAGTATTTTGACTTACCAATTTGTTCTTATAAAAGAAATAAATGAATTTTGAAATTGAGGAATTATATATTTTTAAAAATATGATGAAATAATATTTATTAATATTAATTTGCAAAAAAAAAAACTGCGGATAAACAGACAACTATTATAGCAAAGCAAAGCAAATTAATAGTTAAACTATTCAAATATAGGACGAGTAATGTAAAAGGAGAAAAATAAAGCAAAAAAAGATCAAGGCATTGCAAAGAGAACTTCAGAGTTACAAAAGCGATGAAACATCATTGATATTTCAGTTCTTAACCTTAACGCCTAACCTTTTTTTTCTTATTTCTCATTCCTTTTCAGCCTATTCTCTCTTTGAGTCAAGGATATAATACGCTATTCTCTTTGTATAAGAGATTTCTTTTATAAAAATATACTTATTGCATAGTGAATTACAGCTGTATTTGTACATAGAAAGTTTGAATTGTTTACGAAAATTTAAATTTATATTATAAATGAACTATATATGTGGAACATACACATAGATACATTTGAAAAAAATTATAATATATATCGCAAAAGCACTAAATCATAATTTATTTCATTTTCATTTAAGAAAATTTTCTAAAAGCAAGATTAGATTGAAATCATAATATGACCTTTTGCAAAACATTCAAAAGCAACTCATGTGTTTGTTGTCAATATGTTAGAAGAAAAACTAGTGCTGAAATACATTAATCAAATCAAGAGTGAGTGAGTGAATGTGTAAGATTAGTGGGGAGAAGGAAGGGAGGAAGGAGACAGAGGAGAGAGAAGGGCGGGAGATCCAGGGAAAAAGGACAGGCAGAAAAGAGTATAAAATTGTATACATATTTGTATAGTAAAAGGCGAGGAATGGTTAACAATAGCATACGTTAATCGTTTTCACGTCGAGAATCCGCATCAGATCGATCCTTTGGTACATTGCACACACTGTAACTTTTCATTTAACACATCTTGTATATACAATTGTAAAATAATTCACAAGTATACTCACCATAAATAAATTTCGCGATAAACACTCCTAAGCTGATCCACAGGCCGTATTTACATCCACACCGACCTGGGGTAGCAAAGAGCGCAGCCATTTTCTACATCCGAGAGCACATACTTCACTGTGACGTAGGGCGAGACGCGTCGGTCGCAAAGCGCAGGCTGGTCAGCTTCGGCTTTTTCCGTCATTCTACGGTCGGTTCTCTAAAGAACTGACAGCTCATTGGAGAGCTGATCGTGTAGCAGTTCGGTTGTTAAACAAAGACAACTATTTGAGCTTACCTAAAAGAAAGAAACAAAGATATATCCATATATGTCAGCAGTGTATCTTTAATTTTCGTTACCCGGAAATCTCTTTAATATAATCGAATAGTATAATTGAATTGAAACAAATATGAGTTGAAATAAATGTGAAGTTCAAAATGCAATTAATCAATGAAAATTATAAATATCGATATAACATTCAAATCAACGTTCTATCATATGTTATTATTGTATGTGAGTACGTGCCAATATATCTTGTTTTCAATTTTAATAATATATTTCTTTATCGCTATAAAGAAAATGTAACAATTTATATTTTAAAAAATTAATAGTTAATTTATTTGATTATTTAAAATAAAATTAATATATATTGCACCAAAAATTATTTATTGTCCACGATGTATTTATATATATTTTATTCAATATTTTGTTTAATTTTAATTTTTTTATCATATCATTAAATCTTATTATAATCCTGTTATTATGTTATTCTTTATACTTTTGAAATGATATTACAAATTTTTTGTAATATAATCATTAAGATTTCATATTTAAAGTTACGTACCTGTATTGTCATCGTAACTAGTAGGGAGTATGCGACGGCGCCCTATGGGCGCCGTTATGCCGCGACGAATGTAGTTTCAAAGATGTTTCTTCTTATTCATTCTTCTTTTTCTTTTCGTCGATTACATGTTTATAGTTCTGATATTTCAAATAAAAAATTTAAAGTAACAAAAAATGAACAATGATCTATTAAAAATTTGTGTAGTTTATGCATTTTACATTATAAAAATCTGTATTTATAATTTTTTTATCATTTGATTACATACAAAATAATACAAAATGAACAATTAAAATTAGAGACTGTACGAGACTATTATTCGAAAAATTATTCGTATATCATATCCGTATAAATACGATAAGTTTTCTAAATAGATTGATAATATTTCATAAATTTTTATAAATATATAATTTTATAATATTTAATACATTATATTAAATATTATATTATTAATATAAATTTTTGTTAATGAAATTTGACAATAGAAGTATTCATTTTATGATAAAATTGTAATATTTATAATGTATTTAAAATATACTCCACAAATAAGGATTCTGAAAATTCGTTTATTATGTATAAACATATGTGCATAAACATATTGTACATGTATGCATAATATATGTAAATATCGATCTATCTATTAATATATTAATAAAATTTGTATGAAAAAAATTGAGAGGAACGAAAAAAAAGAAAGAGAGATATATTTTATATATGAAAAATAATATATTCATACTTGTAACAGTATCTAAGATGATAGGAAAAAATGGTACGTGCAATATTTTTAATATTTTATATCATATATACTTCTATCTATCAAAATAGATATTATTATCAGAAATAAATTATCTGATAATATAATATATTCTTATTCAAAATGATATTGTTTTAAAAAATATGGAAAATATATATATATATATATTTGGATGGATTTCAAATATATATTATGTTTGTTATATGATTATTTCTATATATATATATATATATATATAGAATATATATATATAATTGTATTATTTATCATATATATCAGAAAATAATGAAAACTACTGTATGTAAGGTATTAAGTAAAGTACTATGTAAATTGTAAATAAATAAGATAATAAAAATATAACAATTACAAAGAAGATTCAAAAATAAGATTAACAATTTTATGATAACATATATAGATAGAAATATAGATAGAAATAAATATAATAGAGAAATGTTACACGTAACATTTGTGTGCTATTCAGATAATTTGTGTATATGTATGTACATATACGTGTAATAAAAAATGCACGTAAAAGCGATATTATCGTGTGCAAGCGTAAAGAACTGAAAATGAGTTTGATCAAAGCACCATAAATGTGCTTGCTCAAGAAAAATTATGTGGATAAGATAAAGAGACTAAGTAGATTTTGTAATATCATATATATATATATATATATATATATATAATAATATATATATTATATATATAATAATATTATATATTATAATA